CGGATCGTTAATTAATTAACGGGGAATTCTCACCCAGCTGGGACTTTTTTATTTATTTATTTACTTATTCTGAACGTCTGAGCAGACGAAGGCGCCTGGAACAAATAAGGCAAAAAAAATAAACAAACAAAATAAAGTAAAATGAAGCAACCCGATTTAGGCAGAATTCGAACCGGTTGGAGGAACGCGCCGATGTCTCTGATCTCCAAAATTGATGCAAAGGGATCGTTTTAGACCCGGGCTGCTGTTTCTGAACACAAATCTAAGCCGTAAATCTAAACACAATTTTAAAAGACGAATCTCTTTGCCCTCCCCCCCAAAAAAACAACCCCAGCACAATTCAACACACATCAACAAGGCCCTTCTAGGCCTGTCTGAAAAGAAACTAAGGTTAGTTTTAACGTACGACGCAGCTGAGCCACGAAACCTCTTGTTAAGTGAGTTTTGTCCCATTTTACGACCTTTGTTGCCACAGTGACGCTGCGACCGTTGCAAGTCCGAGGACGGCTCGTCGGTCGCTTTCTTTCAGCGCCTTTGTAACTGTGAACGGCCGTTAAACGAATCGCTGTAGGCTGAGGACTGCCTGCACAGCCGTCGGACGTACAGATTTGCGACACCTTAGCGAATTCTCGCCCTAATTGTCTTCGTAAGGGGAGGACTGCATGTATCCCGTGTCTTCCTTCCCTCAAACCCTCACAAACTTTTTTTTAATGTTTGTGTGTGTGTGCAATCTTGTGACTTTCAGATTGTACAGTACATCGGGGAGATTTGCCGTTACCTGCTGAACCAGCCGTCGAAAGAGGTGGAGCGTCAGCACCGAGTTCGGATGGCGCTGGGGAACGGCCTGCGGTCCTCCATCTGGAAGGAGTTCGTGGAACGCTTCGGCATCCCCCAGATTGCCGAGTTTTACGGCTCCACCGAGTGTAACTGCAGCGTGGGGAATTTTGACAACAAGGTAGGGGAAGGAAGGGGAAGAGTGCCAAGCGGAGAGAAGCTCCCGAACTCAGGGCTTGCGAGAAATTGGGGAGCCGTCGGGGCTCGCTTAAGCTCTGGGTGGTTTTCTTGCAGACGTTTCATGACCCAGCTAAGTAACATCATCAGTGCTAGAAGGGAGTGGGGGTTTGTGGGGAGGAAGGGGAGGAGGAGGAGACGACTGTGGGGTCCTTGATGCTCTCTGAGCTTGGTTGTTTTCTTGTGGACGTTTCATGACCCAACTAGGGAACATCATCAGCGCTAGAAGGGTGTGGGGGTTTGCAGAATGGAGGAGGAGGAGGAGAAGAAGAAGAAGAAGAGGAGGAGGAGGAGGAGGAGGAGGAGGAGGAGGAGGAGGAGGAGGAGGAGGAGGAGGAGGAGGAGGAGGAGACGATGACGACTGTGGGGTCCTTGATGCTCTCTGAGCTTGGGGGTTTTCTTGCAGATGTTTCATGACCCAACTAGGTAGCAACATCAGTACTAAAAGGGAGTGGAGTTTTCAGAATGATGGAGGAGGAGGAGGATTATGGAGTCTTTGGTCCTCTCTAAGCTTGGTTCTTTTCTTGCAGGCATTTCATGACCCAACTAGGGAACGTCATCAGTGCTAGAAAGGAGTGGGGTTTGCGAGGAGGAGGAGAACAGTGGGGTCCTTGGTGGTCTCTTTTCTTGCAGACATTTCATAACCCAACTAGGGAACATCATCAATGCTGGAAGGGAGTGGGATTTACAAAGAGGAGGAGGAGGAGGAGGAGGAGGAGGACAGTGGGGTCCTTGGTGGTCTCTTTTCTTGCAGGCATTTCATGACCCAACTAGGGAACGTCATCAGTGCTAGAAAGGAGTGGGGTTTATGGAGGAGAAGGAGGGGAAGCATTGATGATGAAGATGATGTCCCCTAGTTGGGTCATGTAATGCCAACCACCCAATTCAGAGAGCACCAAGGGCTTCAAAGGAAAAAGTGGTCCTGAGAAGCTCAAGGGGCAGAGGGGGACAAAATAGGGCCTCCCTGTTCTTCTTCTGAGTCTGTTTGTCCAAATTTCTCTGCTCTACAGTTCGGAGCCTGTGGCTTCAACAGCAGAATCCTCCCCCATGTTTACCCCATCAAGCTAATCCGGGTCAACGAAGACACCATGGAGCTGATCCGGGGACCAGATGGGCTTTGCCTGCAGTGTGAACCAGGTGAGATCAAGAGTGGTGATGGAGATCTCCGGTGGAGAGAAGGTGGAGACTCTAAATAAAACATAAATGAATGGGAGAGGGAGATCCCCCATCCATTCCATTTTGTTCTTCTCTGGCTGATGGTGGAAGCTCTTTAGATGCCTCCAAGCTATGTTCTGTTGCAAGCATCAGAGGACCTCAACACTCCATTCCATTGTGTTCTTCCCTGGCTAATGGTGGAAGCTCCTTAGATGCCTCCAAGCTATGTTGTGTTGCAAGCATCAGAGGACCTCAACACTCCATTCCATTGTGTTCTTCCCTGGCTGATGGTGGAAGCTCCTTAGATGCCTCCAAGCTATGTTCTGTTGCAAGCATCCGAGGACCTCAGCACTTGAGGACCTGCTGGATCCCAAAATCCTGAAAAAAAACAACCTCAAATCCAGCCTCTCCCTTCCTCTCTTTCCCCAGGGGAACCAGGTCAGCTGGTGGGGCGCATCGTCCAAAGCGATCCGTTGCAGCGTTTTGACGGCTACTTGAACCACGAGGCCAACAATAAGAAGATCGCCCGAGATGTCTTCACCAAAGGCGACTCTGCCTACCTCTCAGGTGAGCCTTTTTAAACTCTTATTGTGGGGTGTATAATCATTGTCACCTACACAAAAAGTCCTGTCAGTCAGAGCTGGAAGCTCTACAGGTAATCCTCGATTTAACAAGTGTTCATTTAGTGACCGTCCCAAGTTACAACCGCCCTGAAAAAAGTGATTTATGACCGTTTAACGACCGTTGCAGCATCCCCATGGTCATGTGATCACAATTCAGACGCTGGCAGCTGACTCGTATTTACGACGGCTGCAGTGTCGCGGGATCCCCCGGATTCGCTTGACGACCGCGTGGCTAACTTAACCACCGCCGCGATTTGCTTAACGACCGAGGCGAGGAAGGTCATAAAATGGGGGCAAGCTCACTGAGCTGCTGTCTTGCTTAGCGACGGTTGGGGTCAATAGCGATCATAAGTCCAGGACGGCCTGTACGTAAAGACGGAGAGGCCTGCCACGAACGTTCACCACCACCCTTGCCGCGTTTGTTCCTCAGGTGACGTTCTGGTCATGGACGAGCTGGGCTACCTGTATTTCCGAGATCGCACGGGAGACACCTTCCGCTGGAAGGGTGAGAACGTCTCCACGACCGAGGTGGAGGGCACCCTCAGCCGGATCCTCAGCATGGCGGATGTGGTGGTCTACGGCGTGGCAGTGCCAGGTCAGTGGGAAGGGCCAAAGACAAGGGGGGGGGATAGGATTGGGCAGAGGTTTTTTTCCATCATATGGAGAAACCCCAAATTGTCTGTCTGCCTGCCTGCCTGCCTGCCTGTCTGTCTGTCCATTATCTATCTGTCTGTCTGTCTGTCTGTCT